GTATCGTGCGTCGCTACAGCAGGACCCTTTTTGGAGCGGATTTTGCCGCGATTCCATTCTTTGCAATGCAAGCATTTGCGCGATATTGCGCGACAAATCGCGCAATATGCAAATCGCGCGACAAACGCGTGATTTGCAAATCGCGCTGAGGGATTTATCGAGCGATTTTTGCAGCGATATCGCTCATATTTCCACACGATATCTCTCTATATAGCTTCTCCAATCCATTTCAATGGAGCTGTTCACATCTTGTCGCTCAATATCGCTCAATATCGCTTGTAGCTCGTCGCTGGTAGCTTGTCGCTCCTACATGACCCGTTTTTCAATTTTGCTCCTGATTGCATACAGCCCAATAGGAAAAGGTCGCGCGACATGTCGCTCAATATCGCTCGTCGCGCAATATCGCTCAAAATCGCGCAATTTTCATGTCGCTCAGTGTGAATGGGGCCTAAAACTGCACTGCAGGCCAAACATAACCTGACCACAAGGCATTATTGTGATTTGATTCTCATACATGATATACAAAACATAGGACATTGCAGCCTAAATATAACCTGACCTCTAGACATGATTGTAATTCAGTTCTCATACATGATATACAAAACATAGGTCATTGCAGGCCAAACATAACCTGACCACTAGACATGATTGTAATTCAATTCTCATACATGATATACAAAACATAGGTCATTGCAGGCCAAATATAACCTAACCACTAGACAATTCAGTAATGGTAATTCAGTTCTCATACAAGCTATACAGACATTAAAACACTAAAGCCCTAACCTCACCTGACCTATAGACATGATCATAATTCAATTCTCATACAAGCTATATAGACATAGAACACTACAAGCCTCACTTTACTTGGCCACAAGACATGGTTGTAATTCAATTCTTACACATGCTATACAGATATAGAACACTACAAACCTAACCTGACCAATGGACATGATTGTAATTCAAGTCACATACAAGCTATATAGACAGAGAACACTACGGGGTCAATTTAAAACCCCTCATGCAGTCTGTGTCCCATTGGGGAGATTTTTCTCCACTTCCTCTCTTAAAGCACAACAGTAAGTGAGGGGAGATCTCTCCAAAACGATGGGAATCCTCTCTTAGACAGTTGTCACCAGATTGGGTGTTCCTATTGGAAGACTTTCCCTCTGTACCTGTTTAAGTGAAAATTTACTTTCATTCCTAATGACAATGGTCACCAGGACAATTAGGGAGGGGGAAACTTACCAGCTGGGACACAGACAGCAATTCAAAGCCAACATAGGCTGACATAGGTTCTAACCTGCAAAATCAGTTGCTGAAGAGCTCAATGTATTCCCACACACAACGGTATCCAATTCCAAGCCATCACAGTCCTGATACGTGTTCTTCCTTAGTAAGTCCTGATGAAGGCATAACGTGTATAAGCCCCCGAAATGAGGGGTATTCAATGAGGGGTATAAACCCCTTATTGAATAAAGATGGATGTGGACTATTAAACAGAGTGTGGAGCTTCAGAGCACAGTTCTGCAATAGGTTCTAATTGTTTCCTGCTAGAGTTCTGGTAGGGGAGGGTTATGTGATAGGGATTTCGTAATTTTTCTTATTTTTATTTTTTTTGCAGCCAAAACCACAAGTACGCCGGGAAAAAAAAATTAAAATGTCATTTTTCAAGGACAGCACAATCTGTGCATGTCTGATTGGCTTTAATGTCCGCCCACCGGCTTCAGATTTATATCCACACCCAAGAACAAATAACTGTGTTCCTCTTCACACAGAGAATGAAATTACCAGAAGACCTTAAAAAAAACAACCATTGTTTGCCCTTGTAATAAAATTAGATTATTGTCCCAGAGGGAGGTATCACCAGACAATGGAAAAACTGATAATCTGACTGGCACAATTAGATTTTTCTTGATGGAGCTCTCAGATAACGTGAACGGTAATAACAGACCACTTTGAATGACAATAAAGTGAAGCATTCGCATAACCTTGTTAGTGGATTACCAGGCTCACCATACACAGCGTTTCGGGCGGAAAGATGTGTCGCGGTGGTAAAACAAGCATTCTTGAACCCGACAATTCATCCAGTTGCAGCAGACACAGTCATGAATAGCATAAATAATGTTTTTTACATAAAATCGGAAGCACTACGCCCCATAGGACAAAAAGTTCAACAGTCCTGTAGCATGTGGCCCATTTTATATGCATCAACAGGTGGTGTGTATGTGGAATACCAGAAATCCAGAATTCAGAGGAGCTCCTCCTTATTTAATGCTTAACCACATCCAGCGGGTTCACGTAAATGTACCACCAAGGACATGGCAGCCGTGTTCCTGGTATCGTTTTAAACAGCCGGCAATTGCTTTTTAAATACAAGCAATCTGGTGTCTATACAGGCGCTGGATCGCTTGTACGGTGTGGGGCTGTGTCGTCCCCAACCGACCCCCCCAGCCACGCCGGTGCCGTTGTCGGCTTCCCGGGCTCCACTGTCTCCCATGTGAGCTCGGGACCGGCTTTGTGGGTCTCCCCTGATAAATCAGAGGAGAGATCAGCGGCTTCCACACAGACAGCCAATGAGTGCATTAAATCAATGACATATTCTTCCATATGCTTATCTATACATTTGTGCAGCAATAGGGCATATAACTCTGCATGTGTGTAGGGGCTTCCTGTTATAAAGACCAGTCTCTGCTGCTCTTTCTTCTTGTGTCGGGAGACTGGTCTTGTCTCCACCCATCCACCTCCGTTTTCTGCCGGCGGCCTGCAGTGGGTGGTGTCTACTCGGCACCTCCCACAGCTCTGCTCTCTCTCCTTGTGCAGGGTGACTGGTCTGGTCTCAGCTCCCTCATGCAGTTTTTTTGAAGGCAGCCTATAGTAGGTGGGGTCTGCTAGGTCCCTCCCACAACTCTGCTTTCTCTCCTTGTGCAGGGTGACTGGTCTCATCTCCGCCCTTTCCTGTAGTTTTCTGCAGGCAGCCTGCAGTGGGAGGGGCCTTCTGGGTCTCTCCGGAACAGGTCTGCCCTTTGTAGAGCCTATGTGCAGCACAGTGATAGTGTAATGGCTACTTTTATAAGGTAATATCCAATTTTGTGAAGGCATTTGGTGCACACAAATGTGTCAGCTTCAAGTCTAAAGCTGACATCTTTTTCTCCATTCAGTGAGGCTTGTTACAGGTTACACATCAGGAAAATCCTCCCCGCTGGGCAACTTGTCATGGACGGAGCGCTGCCTGTTAATTACAGGCAGTGCTGCATCCGGCTTTTGACAGGTAGTTAGGTTACACAGCAGCGGGCTTCCCCACTGCTTGTGTAACCTAACCTAGTAAGGCAAGAGCTGTCACAGCCTCTACTCTGTGTTAGAGGCGTGAGCTCTGTGGATGGCTTGGACCAATGATAAATCAAAAAACAGAAAAAAAAACCCACTGAGCCCATCAATCTCCATGCCTCAGCAGTGACTCACCAGTGACGAGCAAGTGAGGGACAGGGAGGCTCCTCCCTGTCTCCTCCCTTCCTCCTCCCCACACAGCTTGGTTACCGAGAAGCGGATGGAGCTTCCGCAGGATGGAAGTGGAGCTTCGGCTGGACAGGGGCGGAGCTTCGGCGGGATGGGCAGAGCTTCGGCAGGCTGAGGAATGCCTCACCAAGCACAGAAGGCACAGCACGTCACTGATATATCCCCCCCCCCCCATCTCAACCGACACCGCACA